TCATGGGACTGCGGATGGTTTGGGCTTTATATATATATATATTTGTCTGGGATATCTGTTTTGGTTTTAAAGTCATATTTAAATAAGCCAAATAATAAGCCAGTCAGCTTTATATCCTGGGTTGTTCCGAAGTTGTTAGACATGACTTTCTAATATGAGCAAACCAGAAAAGTACCATTTATTTATTGTTTATTTTGCAGCATTTATATGCACCCCAATTAATAGACTCTGGGTGGTGTACAAAATATAAACTGAACAAAACTCTAACCACAACCACATTTAAAAACAGATCAGTAACATTACACTGGACAAAACATTTATAAGATAAAAGTCTCCTTTGAGCAGAGCTATACCTCCCGTTGACCACATCTAGACTCTCCATGTGGTGTTTTGGCAACAGTGTGGAATTAATCTGCCACTGCCTTCTTCTGGAGGTTCTTTCAATCTCCCAGTCTGGCCTACAGCCCTGGCCTTGCCAAGTGGTCTCACGATGAAGCTTAGCTTCTGAGCCCAAAGAAGGTTGGCCAGGGGCTGCACTGCTGAGATACTATGTTTGGTTGTATGAAATGAAAACTGAAGGGAACCAAGATGTGTGAGCTCATTGTTTGTCTAATAAAACTGAGGATGCAGTAATCTGAATATGGCCATTGCGTTGTGTGAAAGATGGGAAATAATGTGTGGAAAACTGTTGGTATTTCTGAGTATTTAAAACCCATCATATTTATGGTGACATTTATTACATAGTGAAAAAGCTCAGTTGCCTAATAAATAGAGCCAGTATGTTCAGATCACTGCTTGTGGGATCATTAAGTGGTTTTTAGTGAGTTGCTAAATTTGAGACACATTTTCAGAACTGTATCCTCAGTGTACAGCTTTTTAAATACTAAAATCACTGAACTTAATCCAAGTTTACCCATCTAGTCTAGTAAATGAAGTGGAATAATATAATTGTGCAGGCTCTGAGCTGTACGGCCCCATGGTGAATTTTCTAAGTATTTACAAGTTTTTAAAAGTAATCATGTAAAGTGAGTCACCCTCAACTTTGGGAGCTCATTTCTGAGTAAAAGATGCAAGTACTATTGGGGGAAAATAGAAGAGAAGGTGTTCCATAGCACCAAAAATCTCAGTTTTAATACATGTTTAATGAATTAAAACTTAATTAAGGTTTAAATATATGATAATTCTCTTATGTGGGAGAATGAACATCCATGAAAATATTAATAGCCAATTATCTGTGGTTTTCAGTTTTTATCTGTTAACGTATACCTACACACTGCTTATGTTGACAAACTTTTATTTTTTACCATCTGGATGGAACATGGAGAAACAGACCGGCTCCAGGTTTGCAAGGTTGTGGGACAAGGTTTTACACTTTCTCCTTATTTATTCAATCTGTATGCTGAATATATATTGAGGGAAGCTGGATTGGAAGATGATGAACGTGATTTTAAAATTAAAGAAAGAAATATCAATGATCTGTGCTATGCTGACACTACTCTGATTGATGAAAATGTACGTGATCTGCAAATTCTGTAGTAGTACTAATTTTCAATTACAGTGGTATCTCGGGTCACAAACTTAATTCGTTCCGCGACTCTGGTCGCAACCCGAATTGGTCGTGACCCGAATCAAATTTTCCCATAA